CCCCAGATGTTATCATTTGGCTTGCTTTTCAATCTACCAATTTAGGATCCAGGATATGAGCGAGATATTTTAAGAACTGGGAGGAGGCTCTGACTATGGTCACACAAGCATCTTCCCAATCCTCTAGGTCACCCTTATCCTGGCTTAGAGTTGAACCAAATGCTTATAGATACTTTAACAGGGTTGTACTGGGAGGGGTTGCAAGGAAATGGGTCATAAGGAAGTCTGTGGAGACAACACACTGATTGTCCCTCCACCTCTGGCTGGAGTATTAGCAACAGCCACTTGCAAGTCTATCTTTCAGGCCAAGTTTCTTCACACACCAGGAACTTAGTGTAGTCCAAGCTTACTGAATAAGCCACTACCTGCCACTGGGGACTTCTTGTTTACAGACATCTGAGACATTAAGTCAAAGCTAATAACACTTGTCTCCCACATTCTAGGTACTTATGGCCCCTGTGAAAGCCAGTAAGGGTTGTGGTGGTATGGTGTGTTGCCTACTAAAAGGGCACACAAGATGATTTCCTAGCCTATAGAAAAAACTTTCTTCTTGGGGTTATAGTTTGTGTACTTGGTAAAGTTCCAAGAGAATGCTGGCTCTCCCTACTTGAATCATCTGACCCTTCCATTAGAAGGAGATTATATCTCTCTTCAGGGCCAATGATATCTAGTACAGAAAATTGGAGCTAATAACCCAAGCAGGAAGAGAATAGTCCTTGGAAGGTCAATTTTAGTGTTTGGTTAAGATCCAGGAATTTGGAACTCAAGCATTTTGCATGTCTTAGAGTAGAAAATAAACACATTTGTATATGTATAATTTACAAATATATACTTCCTGTAAAACTTCAAATATTATGAATAAAATTGAAGTTCCTTTTGATGAAGCTTTTCCAAGTCTTCCTCCATCCCATGTACCCGTTTTTTTTTTAGTATGATAAACCTGCTTCTATTTCTCTCTCATACACACACACTCCCTCTGTATACACTCTTTGAAGCATGTAGTTACATTTTTTTCCCTCATATGTAAAGGCTCTCTCTCTCCCTGTACTAAATGTTGTTTCATTTCCTGTTTTTCTCTGTCAAAGGTTTGCCTTGATATGGTTCCATTTTATTATCTTCTCCTTTTTTATTTTTAGCTTCTCATGATTGAATGCTAGAGAGTTTAGTTCTTTCCAGTAGACTTCAATATTTATAATCAATGCATCAGCAAACATCCTTGAATTGTTTCCTTAGGGAGATAATAGTGGAATTACTGAGTCATAAGGCATTCTCCTCCCTTTCCTTTCCACCCTTTACCTCATTTGTCCTTCTATTTCCTCCTTGCTGTTCCTGCCCTTCCTTTTCTTTCTCCTTCTCTCCATTTTCCTCCCCTCCCTTCCTATTCTCCTCCTTCTCTCTCTCCCCCCCTCTCTCCCCTTCAGTCCTTCTCCCCTTCCTCAACTAGACACAGCCAGTTTTCTCACCAAAACAGCTATGCCAATCTTCCTGCATATAGATGATGTAGAATCTGGCTTCCTCACAAGGGGAGGTGATTTTACAGGTTTCTATTTTTTCCTACTGTGCCATCCCTTTTGGACCTGAGAGGTACAGTGGAGTCGTATCACTTAACTGAGGACTCTATGGAGGCAATTCTTCATTCTTCCCAACCCAGCTGCCTGCTTGCCTCTTACTTGCTCTATTCACTACTACAGAATGAGCACCAGCTGGGTGCCTGCTGCAACAATCCTGTCATCCTTTGTATTTCCCCTCTGAAGCTGGGAGAGACAGCTCTGCCTGGCTTAGACAGCTGTGAAGGAACAGGTATAGGGAGTGAGCTGCTGAGGGGTGGCACATTTTAATAGTTGGTTTTCTGCAATGAGTCATATACAGTTTATTTTTTTTGGAAAAAATTAAAATACAAACTTACTGCTATTTTATTTCTGAGAAAGTGATACATTCACAATTTTAAAAAGTCCAGCTATATAAAAAGTAAGTGGATGAGGGAAGTGGTGACGTCATACATACTCTACCTGACTCATGTAACTGCAACCCCTCTGTACATTACCTTTATAATAACAATATAAATTAAAAACAAATAAATATAAAGATGTTCCCAGTGGTTTTTTTTCTTTCTTACTATTGTTTCTAACGTATTTGTAAGGTACCATGTGATTGTTTAGTTGCTTTGTATGTCCTTCCCTCATGGTATAACCACTGTTTTCACTGTATTTGATGTTGGTATAATTTGGGGAGCAGAAGGGAAAAAAACAAATTGTTTAAATAGGGATACAGGTTCATTGCAACAATGAGATATACAAGACACTATGTCGAAAAAACAAACTATAATTTAGGTGGGCGGGGGAGGGGGAGTGTAGTTGTGGAGGTGGGAGGGAAGGGATGGTAGGGGAAAACAAAGGAGGAGGCTACAATGCTTGATAAGAAATGTACTCATTACCTTGCTCATGTGATTGTAACTCTTCTGTACAGTATTTTCACAATAAAAATCTTACTTAAAAAAAAGAAAAAGCATATAATGAGTATGTCTCTGGGCATGTTTTCAACTAAGAATACTGTGTTGTAATAAATTAAAAGAGCTGAACTTTTTTGGGGGTGAGGATACTGACTGGGTCTATCTGATGCCATCTTGGCAACATGATGGATGATAGGGAATTGGGTCTACCTGGCACCATTTTGGCTTTTTGGTGGGTGAAGCTGAAGTTCCACCACCAGGTGATGAGTGTGTCTGAATTCCTACAGGCAAGGGCAGGGACTCAAACAATAGGTTACTAGACCTGCTAAACTGTTACCATGAACTCGAAAGACATTTTGGACTCTAAGCTACCTATGACCTTGCCCCCGGCCATAACCCTATTTAGGCCAGGACCAGCTCAGCCACTGTTTGAGCCATGCCTCTTGCCTCCTGACTCTCCTCAGGTCACCATGGCATCCCTCTTCATCTCTCCATTAGGGTTGATCTGGTTTGTTGAGATGTTTTCTGCTCTCTCTTTACTACCCTCATGGCTCAGTTTCCTAACAGTATTCAGTGTATTAGAGGCTGCAGGTGTTTTGGGGACATCTGTCCACTCATAGTCACTGGCTTTCTAATAAAGACTCCTGATTTGACCTCTCCAAAAAAAAAAAAAAAAGTAAATGGAGAATGGTCTTACTCCCACTCTGGAATTCATATACCTCATTCCCTAATCTTCATTCATTTCTTATGTTTCCTATAGAATTTTCCAGATCAAATACAACTACAAGGGAATGTCTTGACTTTTGCTTCTTTCCCCTCTGTTTACTGCATGTATCTGCTTTTTCTTGGTGAGAGGATTAAACCAAAGGCCTTATACTTGCCAGGCAAGTGCTCTACTACTAGCCATATCCCCAGTCCTGGTCTTGTTCTTTTTTATGTTATCACCACATCTTGGTTCTTGCTCTTCCCTTATTAGAGTTGCATGGTATTCCAAGTCCAATAATCACTTAATTGATCTTCTATTGAGAGACACAGGATATTCCCCCCCTTCATATTAAAAATGATGTATAATGAATAATTTTGATTGCATTATTTCACATGAGCTATGTAGGATACAACCACATGAGTGAAAGTGTTGGGCCAAGAAGGAAGTACATGTCATTTCAATCATTTTGAAGTTTTCTCTATTGATATAATTCCAATTCAGATTCCTATGTGTAATGTTTACCACTATGATTTTTTCTTCACAGTTTTGCTAACAGGGTGTGTTGAACTTTTTATTTTTGTTAATCATATGGACTACTGGTATCTCAGGTGCTTTTTAATTTTACTGTCTTATTATGAGTAATGGTGAATGTCTCTCCAGGGTCTGTCTGTCTTTCTTTCTTTCCTTCCTTCCTTCCTTCCTTGCTTCTTTCTTTCTTTCTTTCTTTCTTTCCTTCTCTCTCTCTCTGTCTCTCTCTCTCTTTCCTTCCCTCCCTCCCTCCCTTCCTTCCTACCTATCTTTTCTTGAGGAGCTTGTTAATCCCTTACCTACTATACTGTTGGATTTTTTTTTGGGGGGTGGGTCGGTGGTGGGGCTTGAACTCTGGGCCTGTGCACTGCCCCTCAGCTCTTCAGCTTAAGGTGAGTGCTCTACACCTGACCATAGAGTCACTTTGGGTTTTCTGGTGGCTTATTGGAGATAAGAGTCTCACGGACTTTTCTGTCTGGGCTGGCTTTGAACCACCATCCTCACTTCTCAGCCTCCTGAATAGCTAGGATTACAGGCATGAGCCACCAGTGCTCAGTTACTGTTGGATTTTTGTTCCTCTGTGTTTGAACGTTTTGAGAGAACTCCTTATTTATTCAGCAAATTATCCCTTTAACTGGGATATGAGTTATAAATATTGTAACTCAAATATTGACTTTGCTTCTGGTGACTTCTGAAATCCTGAGCTTATTTTTACATCATTTGTTCTCATACTCTGATACCTTTGTGCTGTTTCCCTAGCTTGGGTGCCATTTTCTTTATTTTCCTGAGAAATTTCTGCCTGTCCCTTTAGGTCTGACTAATATGTCACTTTACTTGGTGCCTACTACCAGATCTTGTGATGCCTTCCTGGCCACTCCTCTTATATTTTATCTTGCTTCTACTTGTCATATTGTCTTGCTTGTTTCATACATGTCTGCTTCTCCTATCAAACTAGGAACTCGCACATTTTTAATCTCTGAACTCTCAGCATTTGCTTAGTAGATGTCTGTTGAATAAATAGACATACCATGGCAGTTGTTGTCATCAACCTTTACTCCTTATAATTTCTTCAGGAATATAATTCTTCCTCAGATGAATCTTGCACATGGAGTATCTTTTTCTTGAGAACAGAAACAGAGGATATGTGGAAAGGCAAAGTGTCCTGGCACTTTACATATTCAACATATCTGTACTTTGCATACTAGACCTCCAGAAAAAACTTTCATGGCCCTATTAACTTTTACTTTTCTCTATTAAACCCAAGAAAAGTCAATAACCAAGGCAGAATTTTATTCAGTGAAATTTATTTCAGACCCATTGAAACAGTGTGATCATATTTCTTTATTCATAAATATTCCTATATTCAAAATATGAGCTTATCTAATTTTTAGCCTCCATGAAAGGACTTGATCTAGGCAGCACATCAGCCCAAATTAAACTTATTCCATAAATATTGAAAACAAGGCTCTTTTCAAGACACTGCTGCCTCTTATTCCCATTGAATTAAATAAGTCAATCAATCAATAAATACATAAATAGTTGGTAAATGATTTGCTCATCAGAAGCTAGAAGCAAAGACAGGGTTTTTAAAATCAGGATGTGCCAAAGTTTCTGTCAGTCTGGCTTTAAGGAAGCAGGACAGGTGAGAAAGCCTTGGCTCATCAAAGGGTCCAGTGATTTCTCTGGGAGAACAGAGTTGACATCTGGATAGTGGCAACTGAGCTCCCTAGAATGCCCTGCAGAAGGCACCTGGACATCAGTGAAGACAAGAATCAAATTTAGTCTATAGCCATTCAAAATTGTCCTATTTGCCTTCTACTAGTCCTAACGTTGAGGTTACATTTAACTTAAAGTAGATCTGCTGTGTACAGTTCTCTTTAGGAAGAAACAGATTCCATGGTGAAGTCTGTTATATCCTGGGCACCACTGTTTCCCAGGAAGACTGGCAGATGATTTTCTTGAGAGGTGCTGATGTACCAGTTGGGGTGCTGAGCCGACTCAAACTCCACCCTGTTTTTGATTTCTATCTTGTTGAAGACAAATCGTTTTTCCATCTTCTTCTTAGGGTATTCATTGGGGTCTACACTCTGCATGAAAATATGAGGGGAGCCATTATGAGAAAGATGTTCTCAGTCTACTAGAGAGGAGGTTGTAGGCCACACTTTTGAGTTATTTTTTCTAAGCTGTTCTTGAAAGAATACTTTGTCTCTTCTAGATTGTTGGGCTGGTGTCCAGGATCATCATTTGGAATAGAAGTAGCATTACTAAGAATTAGAATTAGCACCATTCTAGGGATATGTAGTTATAGGTACTTTTGTTATTTTTTTTCTTAAGACCTTGGCTATAATGTCATCAATTGGAAATGTTGCTTTTGCTAGGAAATCTGCAAGTATAACCGGGGAATAATTTTGGAAGTGAATTGAAGATTGATGACAGGTACCTTTAACTGTTTAGTTACCTAGATTGTCATCTATCAAAGGAGAGAAACCCTAATACTGTATAACCATTGCAGTTTTAAATGGTATAATCAGTTGGGGTGGTGACGATAGTGGACCATGGTAACAGAAGCTCACTGGGAGTGACATTTGCATGTATTTAAATATTCTATTTAATTTATTTTATACCTATGCAAAATTGCCAGAGACCTGTTTCCAGATTTCCCAAGGGATTGGGGTGGAGAATAGAGTATTGTTCGGGATGGACTGTGGGGAATAGAGGATTATAAGTGATGGCTAATGGTATTCAGATGACTCTAGGAAGGACTTCCTTCCTGGTATTCACTTACCTCCAGCTGCAACGTGGGTTTCTTGTCTTTCATCACACAGGACAGGTACAGATTCTTCCCTCTGAGGCTCAAGGCCACAGGTATTTTGTCATTGCTTCTTTCTCCCTGCACAAAACTCATGGAGAACACCACTGGAGAAAGAAGAGGGGTCATGTGGTCAGGGATGCAGCAATGCAGGGTGGGCTCAACCACTAGACTGAACCACTGACCCACACAACTTAGCAATCTCTGTTTATTTATTTGGCATAATGAGATAACTAGATTTTTCACAGACAATAGCAGGGCCAGTTTGTTGATTTATGGTTTCTCCAGGGAAGTTCTGAGGGTTTCTCAGAGCCTTTTAGCAGTGGCAATGAAAAATAGAGTAGTCTCTAATTTTTCAATGTTGAGGGAAGGAAGAAAGCCATCTTGTCATTGGCAAGCTATGTCCCATCTACATGTGCAGAACAAATCAATATAAAAGAATCTGGACTTCCGTAGAAACCTGGCACCAGCACTGTTTCAGGAACATAGAACAACAAGTAGGAAGGCAGGGAAAGGAATGGCCTAGCTTGGGAAAGTGACTCTAGGAAAGAGATACCCATATTGATTGTCCTTAGTCACAGCAGTCTTATTTGGAGACTGTGAGCCACTGTCACTACACAAGTCTAAAGAAATAGGATATAGCCTGGTTGAGAGAAAGGAGCTTTTCCTTGAAGAACGCCTCCCCCTGAGGACAACAGCCATGGTGGAGAACATGCTGTCTACTCAGCCACAGTGGCTTGATGCTAGATTTGTCACCACAGCTAACAAGGGCTCACTATATTTTACACTTGCCAGTTCCATCAGAGAGATAGAAGTTCCTAATAGTCAGGAACCATATGGTATTGGGGAGGAAGGTTTTTAACAGGGAGGGGAGCAGGTTGGGAATGGGGATGGACATGTTATCTCTGTAGTTTCAGCCTCTGAAACAGGAAAAAAATGAAGCCACAGGCAATGAGGGCATGTCCATCAGATGACTTCCTACTGTGGGAACATTGACATTGCACTGTCCCTGTGTATTGAAAAATAGTCCCAGGAGTATCTGTGGAGTCTGAAACTTGTAGTCACATATTTTTACTAACAAATGGCCATGCCAAACATTCAAACTGATACCATGTCTGGGACCCAAACAAACATTTATGTTCTTTTCTGTTGACAATTTGCCTCACTATTCTGAGAGGTTTGTAGAGAAACAGCAAGCTGCTGGAAGCTTAGAAAGCAAACCAACATGTCTCCAGTTACCTTGTTGGCTCAGATTTGATTCTTGGAGGTGAACAGCTTTCAGTTCGCAAGGGTCAGACAATACCAGGCATTTTTGCTGTCCATCCCGGAGTGTGCAATTCAGTGTTCTCACGGCTACATCACACACATATGCAGGATCATCCCAAGCATCACAGATCATGGGTTCTGAAATTTAGAGCACAAACATGGTTTAGGCAGAGAATCAGAAGAGCAAGCTTTGTGATGTGAAGCAGAAGAGTTTGGAGGACACTTAAGAATTCATGGGCAAAGTTTGATTCTAACATTAGTGGGAAGAAGTTGGGAATAGGGCAGGTAAAACGCTTGATGGGATACCATAAACTATGGTGGTAGGACTGCTCACTGAGGACTAGTGATAGAGAAACTTACATAAAATATTGCTAGTGGGCTGGGAAGTTGGCTCGGTGGTAGAGCTCTTGCCTTGCATGCATGAGGCCCTGGGTTTGATTCCTCAGCACCACATAAGCAGAAAAAAGCTGGCTCAAGTGGTAGAGTGCTAGCCTTGAGCTGAAGAGCTGAAGGACAGCACCTAGGCCCAGAGTTCAGGCCCCACAACCAGACCAAAAAAAATATTGCTAGTGATAATACTGGAGTGTGAGTTACAAATGGATATAGTTACCAAGGTCTTCTCAATAATGAATAGAATATTTTCTGCTAAATAAATGATTGATTTGGCTTTGGAGCTTCTTCATTTTCTGTTCGTTGCTGGGTCTTCTACCTTTAAAGGGTTACGCTTGGGGAGGAATAGTTGGCTGTTGAGAAGGATAGTTCATTACCTTCTTCAAAGATGATGGAAAAGAAGGTTTTCAGGTCATCATTCTGGAAGGCCTGTGAGCAAGGAATGGGTTTATTCCTCAGCTTCTCCACAGCCACGATGAGTGACACCACCTGCCTGAAACTCTTATTGAAGTACTGATGGGAGAGCTGAAGCTGGATGCCCTCATCTGGATAGCAGAGGTCCAGGTCTTGCAAGCAACACTGTGAAGAAATGGAAGCAGTGAACATGCTAAGGTGATCAAACCGTGAACTCCAGTGATGATGTCAGGAAACAAGAAGGGCCCTTAGAGACAACTGAGTTCTTAACTATAATTCCTGTATCTCAAAAAACCAAAGAAGCTAAATAGTCTACTAAAGGCACATGGAGACCAGAATGTGAACTTCCTGATATCTTATTCTTTAAAAAAATCCCATTTCTATTTTATCTTTCTTTTTTTAATTTAATTTTATTTGTGAACATACTGTACAGAGGGGTTACAATTGCATGGGCAGGATAATCTATTTTATCTTTCTTAAACATACCCATTTCACCATTGTACTTACACCTTCTTGCACTGTGTGATTTTTTTTGTTCTTGCACTACTCTAACTCTATGCATTTAATTTTTCACTACATTTCCTATTTTCATCACATTTCCTATTCATCTATGCTCACTTGGCGAGTTCTCACAGATGCCTTTTTTCACAGGCATTCTACAGATATTGTAAAAATTATTCTTGTTTGTGAAATGTATTGCTACTTTAATATTATTTAAAGAAAGTCTACATTAACACTAACTGAAGTTGTTGTCCTAAGGCATGACAATTGAAGGACAGTGACAAGATGTCTAACAACACAAAGGAAAGCTAGGCAGGAGAAAACTTCTCCCCAGGAAAGAGACTTCTGACCAGATGCAGACTCTTCAGGAGGCAGTGAAAGCTAATGCTAGGTAGAAGATGAGGGCCTCACTTGGCTGGAGGTAACCAGTTATAGTTATATTAAAATATGGAGAAATCTGTTGAATTTTGCAGCTAAAGAAGCTGTTGTGAACTAAAGAAAAAATCAGAGAAAAGTGCCTGCTTACTAAGTCACATATCTATCTGACTGAGCCCGGCTAATGATCACATCACTTCTGGAAATTGTAAGACATCATACAAACATGAAGATTTAGCTGGGATGCGAGTATGACTCTCAGTAGGAATAGTCTGAAAAATGCCTATCTATTGGGATAAACTTAGCTGGCACTGAAAACATTCCAGAATGGGAAGTTGCAGATCACCTGGTCACACCTTGTGTTTTTTTTGGATGAAGGCCAAATATCAAGTACACAGTTTTCTTGCAACTCTCAATCCATCATTTTGTTTATATCATGTATATTTTATGGTTTTAAGCTTTAGTCCAGGAAGCATAAAATCTATTCTACCATAAGGGGGTAAACATATGTTAATCCTCAAGGTCATCTGCTCTGTGTTATAGAATTTGAATTGTTTAGAGTAGCCTGCAGCCCCCTCCTAAAAGGAGGGCTCAATTTGTATTGAAAACTTGACTATTTTCCTAACATGAAACAGCAGAGCCATTAATCACTAAGCCTTAGCAAGTAGGATGGCCAACATATGGTACAGCCTGAATCTGTCTCACTGAAAGAAGTGAAAGCCATTCCATCACAAAATACCTTGTGAACAAGGTAGCCGGAACCCTTTTCTTTGAGTTTTTCTCATGTCAGAGCCCTCCCATGAGCTGGGAATTAAGCCCAGTGTCTTACCTTCATTTGCTTGGGACCATCAGTCTCAAAGAAGAGGTCATTCTCATCACTGGAATAAAAAGAGACATGGCTTAACATTACTTTTCTTTCTATACATATTCATTTTCACTGTTAATAAAAATGCAAACAGCATGACTTTCAATGCTCCCTGAAGTCTTCTGGCAAGTTCTATGCATGTTCTACATAGTTCTGTGTATAGAACCTTGGAGAGGTAGATTCTGGGTCAGATAGGTAAGTATCTTTATTGGACCTTAATAACCCAACAATGACCCAGAAGATTCAGCTAAAATCTCAGCTTTCCCTCTCATCCAAGATAATTTTTTCCCAAAGAGGTCCCTTGCATTGTTCACTTGGAATCTTTCCCTCCCATTTGCCATTTGTAGAAACTCTTGCAGCAATGACATCTTGATTGCCTCCAGGTCCCAGAGTTGGACTTGGAATGGGATACCAGTTTTTAAATCAGGTTGACTTGAACTCTGCTTGCTGCCAGGAGAGGCAGTATGGGGATTAATCTGGTCTCTCAGCACAGATCACCCTCCACTGTTGAAAGGAGAACCCTGTGCAGAGGACTACTCTCCATTTCCCCACTGACCTGTGGTAAGCCATCATCTCACTGGTGAGTTCAGGAACTGCTGCCATTGATGCTTCAGAGACCTGTGGACAGAGGACAGAATGAGTATCCCTTTGTAGTGCTATCCTTCCAGTGAGCTGCCTCTATTTGTGAGCTTCCTTCAGCATCTAGTGCTTGGCAGGCATGCAGAGAAATTATCTCTCAGTGAGTAAGTGAATGCAGAAAGAGCTGTTCTTTGGGTCTGCAGAAAGCATTTACTGAATAAACCAAACCAAAAAAATATGACTTAGGAGGCTGTCAGGAGGCTTTGTATGCCCTATATACTTGCAAATAGCTTACCAATCCTGGGACACTGAGAGAGAGAGAGAGAGAGAGAGAGAGAGAGAGAGAGAGAGAGAGAGAGAGAGAGGATGATGATCTCTCTCCTTTAGGAGAATAAGAGTTAAAACTCACACTTGAGCGATGAACACTGGCTGGAGAGAATCTCAGATTAGCCTGTTATTCTCCAAACCTCAAAGAGATCTGCTGTTTGACAGTTCTTTGCTGGTTTTATAGCCTTCAAAAGCAGAAGTAAAGAGCTGAGAAATTTTCTCTTTGGTTAGCTGATTTCACAACCAAGTCAAAGGCATGGGGTGGGGGAAAGGGATGGATGGGAACTAGTGAAGAATGAGGTTGATACGTTGAAATATTTCTCTAGTCCCTGGAAGAGCGAGGGTTTGCAGACTACGACACAAATGTGTCATCATGTGAATAGGCATTTTTTGGTACTAATGATGTCAATATTAAACTACTAGATTTTCCTGGATAAGAAAGTTTATGATTAGGATCTGTGGAACAAAGTAGAGAATGTGAAAATGTACATGCCTGAGTTCATACTCTCCCTTTCTTTTTAGTACTTAAGTTTAGGACCCTCCTACTTGGAGATGGATGAATGGGTATAATGAAGTGACAATACTACATTCCCCCTGCATTATCTGAAAAGAGAGTGCTATTTCCTACTTTGAGAGGTATTTATCACCTACAGGTGTCTCTAGAAAGACACTTGGGTTCTCTTCATGGGATAAGGAACAGACAGGGTACTGGGGTGCAGAATCCAAACAGGTCAAGGTAAACCCTGGAAACAAATTCATTCAACTCAGTAATACCAGGGGTTTGTTACCACTGCCAATCGTATGTTGAAATTACATCAATGCTGGATGACCAATGATGTAAATTTAAATTAAGATACACTGTGAAAAGGTGGTGTATAGGGCAAGTGGTTCATGATCACAATCCCCTTTTAAAAGATATAGAAGATATTCTCTGCCTAAAAGAACTTTTGATGATTCCTGTGTCTATAAGAAGATCTAGGGGATCTGTGTTTCTTGGTAATGTTAAATATAAGCAGAGACCAGCTGAATGCCTGCCTGAGGACCGTTCTTTATTGGTAAATAAATAGGTGATTAGGTCATAAATGGTACATAAAGTCTAGGAACACTTTCCCCCAGAACCCTTGACCCATATATACTGCAGCAAACAATATAGCACTGAAGCAAAACCTGGCTCACCTTTCTGGTACCATCAGAAGCCATGAACTCTTTAAAGCCAAGTTTAGCACAGTGTTTAGCAGTGAATATAAGCAGTAGAGTTTGCTTATTAGTGAATGGGTGAATTTGATAGTGTTTTCCTTCAAATAAGCATTTGCTTACTATGAGTTAGGTATTGTGCTTGTTGTGTGTTATCTAAAGTGGACGTCCCTGACATTGATGGGGAGATTATTTGAGAGATAAAGAAAATGCACTTTGCTGTAGGCTGGGGAAAGCTTCATGGGCTTTGTTCTAATTCTTAATTTGGCTGTTGATACCTTGGTATTAGGAAGGCAGACACAAGAAACTCATTATTGAAATGTTAGATGTTCTGCTGGAAATTTAAAAGCTGTTTTGCTCAGTTTCTTTTGAGTCTGATAAGCAATGATGAGCTTTCAATACTGAGAGACCTATCTGGGTAGTCTGGTGGACTTCTCTGTTTTGCCTTTACAGGGTCAACTTTGCAAACCAACCACTGGTCCCCAAGCTTCATGGAGGGGCCTGCTACATTATTCAAAGCCTCTGGTGGCATTGTGGGCTGTCCTGATAAAGAACTCTGATGCCTTCAGTCTGCTAATACGATTATGGGATAAACAAAGGAGGATAAAAGCCTGTGATAAGAAGTATACAAGGAACTTGAGAATTAACTCTGAGTTAGTTTATTCTTTTTGAGACTTGGGCTGTAGGACAAGGAAATATAAGCTACTTCTATTTTGCCATCTTCTAATTATAGCAATCCTGAGTCTCAGGATTTGCTGGCTGAAAGGAGCCCTAATATTGCCTGGTGAAATATAGTGGGGCCATATTGCTGAAGACAGATTGTTATTTGAATGTGAAGAGTAGACAAAGAAAACAAGTCTAGGATATATGAAATGATTTGTCCATTGTCACAGTAATTGTGTGGTACATTGATTCTTTCTGTTCCAGGGAAGTTTGAATCCATGGGGCAATGTCCTTGATGTAACAGAAGTTAACATTTAACCATGTTTCATCTTTTTTTTTATTGTGAGAATACTGTACAGAGGAGTTACAATTACATGAGTAAGATAACAAGTACATTTCTTATCAAGCATTGTTGCCTCCTCTTGTTTCCCCTTCCTATCCCTTCCCATAATTCCCCCCCTCCCCCCTCCTGATCCTCCTCCCCCTCCCCCCCAACCAATCCCATAGCTAAGATATGGAACCAACTCAGATGCCCCTCAGTAGATGAATGGATCAAGAAAATGTGGTATATATACACAATGGAATTCTATGCCTCCATCAGAAAGAATGACATTGCCCCATGATTCATCTTGACTCTGTGGCTTGAACCTCAAACTTTCTACCATCTTGTCCAATTTAGGAAGTGAAACCTCTTTGTCGTGTGAAGTAGGCAAGTTGCAAAACATTTGTAACAAACCCTGTCTTTTCAGCTCAGGTCACAACACTTCCTTTTGGCTCCTAGAAAAATAGAAAACAACTCAGTGTAGAACAAGTTGCATGTGTCGTAGTATGGTGATGATGATGATGTATTTACTGGAAAAGAAGGGAAGAGGGGAATCCCTCAGTTTCCCTTTCCACCAAAATCACAGGGACTTGAGATCCATAATGAAAATCACTTTGAAGGGTCTCACAAAAGAAGAGTCTCATAAGTTGATGTTTAGCAAGGATTTATTTTAGTATAATTGGATAAAGGAGTGAGAAAACAGGAAAAGAAAGACGAGACAACTGCTTCCCACGCAGGAGATGGGAGGGAAGAAGACTCCAAAGTAGCGCTTACTATCTGTGAGATTTATCTGGAGGATTTTACATTGATTTCTTTTCTAGACACCTGGTCCTCTCACCTGGCAACTCCTAATCATTCTGTTAATTTTCTAGGAATTGAGACAATAGGTTTTAGGTGGGTCTCCTATTCAAAATAAGTCTGAGTCGGTATTATTCTGAACCATAGCGACAAATGACATGACAGATGTGAGTCTTAGGACTTCTGTGTTTACCAGACATGCCCTTTAATCTTCTGCCTCTATCTGTTCAAATAGCTTGCAGTGACTTAATAGCCAAAAGGAGAAGGCAGATGCAGATAGGCTCTTTATCTTCCCTATTCTGTTTTTTTTTTTTTGGTAGGACTGGGGATGGAACTCAGGGCCTTGTGTCTAGGAGGTACTCTACTACTCAAGCCATGTCTCCAGTCCCTTTTTTGCATTGTTTATTTTCAAGGTAGGTTTAACTGGCCTGAGCTAAGGTCCTCCCATTTGTGCTTACCTCATCACTGGGGATAATAGGTATATAACATTATGCTGTCATTGGGTTTCCCTCACAGCTGAGATGATAGACACAGTAATTGGTTTACCTTGACCCGTAATTGGTTTGATGGAGTCTCATGAACTTTCATGTTCAGGATGACCCCCAAGTTTGATCCTCCACTTTCTACCTCTCAACTAGTAAGGATTATAGGTTTGAGCTACCACACTCAATTTGTGTCTCCCTATTCCTGTAACATGTTACCTATGAAGGGAGGGTGATGAGCTTGTTGCTCTGACTTTTCCAGCTTGCTTTACTTCCTGATCCTGTTTTAATTTCTGAGTCTGCCCCTTTAAAGATGTTTAATTATTTTACATTTTCCTATTGCCTCATCTATCTCTCCTGCCTCAGTGCAGAAGCACTGTAGATGTCGGCACAAGTGGGAAGCTGGCAGCGTCAGGATGTTATGGGGATCTTCAACTTTTGAGGACTTCTTTAGTTCTTGTGTCACTTCAGCCCTTCTCAATTTCACCTCACTCTTGGCAGGTCATTCCTCCAAGACAAAAGCAGGCAGTTATTCAAAGCTGTTTCTTCCTTTTCCCTATTTACTTACTTGACTACACTCAGAAGTCCTGGACTGCTGCTGGACTCCTTTGTCTTTTTACTGTTTAAAATTTTAAAAATTATCTTTAAGTAGTTTTACAAAGGGGTTTCAATCTGACATGTCTGTATGTAAGTACAATGCTTATCTAGGTGAAGGTGGCTCATACTTGTAATTCTAAGCTGATTAGAAAGCTGAAATGCCGGGAGTGGGGAGGGTGGGAAGAGGAGTTGGGGAGGTAGGGAGAAAAGGGATGGTAGGGGAAAAAAAGGAGGGGGTAACAATGTTCGATAGGAAATGGACTCATTACCTTGCCCATGTAACTGTAACCCCTCTCTACAGTATCTTTACAATTATATATCCAGGTCTGCTCCTGGATGGCGAGCAGACTGCACCCTCCTCGCAGCGAAGTCTCCGCCCAGTACCTGCGTTACCTAGGCAACTGGCACACCTGGAAGAGGTCATATCTGCATCCTCTGAGGTTACATCTGGATTCGATGTGGCCACACCTCTCCATCCCCCCAACCCCCACCTCTACCCTAGATAAGGCCCAGCCCAGGGCCAGACGCTATCTTTGCCAGCTGCGTGGAGTGCCCACCTGGCCTGGTGCCAGCCTGTCTACTGACTAGATCTACCCCTTACCTAAATACCACGTGCTTGTGGTGCTGTTCTTACTTGGCAACCTCTACTTTAAAAACCTAACTAATTAAAAAAAAGAAAGCTGAAATCTGAGGATCATGGTCCAAAGCCAGCCCTGGCAGGAAAGTCTGTGGGACTCTTAGTTCCTAACCACCAAAAAAGCTGGAAATGGCGCTATGGCTTAAGTGGTAGAACACTAGCTTTGAGCAAAAAAGTTCAGGCACAGCACCCAGAATCTGAATTCAAGCCCCAGTACTGGCATATACATACCAAATGTACAATGTATCTTGATCAATATTATCCTTTTTATTAATTCTTAAGGTTTGTTTTAGCACCATTTCCCCCATGCCCTCAAAAAAAATTTCTGCGGTATTTCTGTTCTTGTAATTGCATGGTTATTAGCTTTTGTGATGCTAAACAACACTTCTTCAAATCTATGAAAAAATACTTCTATTCTGTTTATTACATAATCAAATGTGATTTGT